GGTAAACTACTTCACTTTCTTCTTTTCTTCAGAGATTTTTGTTTTTGCTATAGGGCATGTGCCTTTGCCAGTGAAACACAGAGAGACAGCAAGAAATCACCCCCTGGGGGGATGGTAACACCGCAATCCCTTTTCTTCCATTCTTCTCTCAGGATTTTGGACACACATGCAGACACACACGCGCGCGTGCCAGCCTGAGATTCAAGCCTCCAGGTCTGAGACTCAAACTCAGTCAGCAACATGGGAGTCCAGCGACATAACCATTACGCCATCTGCTGGTCCCAACTACTGCACTTTCTTCTAGCCCCTTGCGACAGCTACTGTGGCTACAGAGCAGCAACATATGCATCACCTGAGAGCATGTTGGAAATGCAGAAGGTCAGGCCCCACACAGGCCTGCTCAGTCAGAATCTACAAGTTAGCAAAACCCCATCTGAATACAGTTCTGTCTTGGAAGCCCTATTCCCGCAGTCACCTCGGCTGCTTGGTTACTGAGTAAACCACACTCCAATCCCAGGTACCTTGTCCAGGGTTTTTTCTTCTTCAGTCACTCAGCATTTGAATAGAGCACTCACCCTGTACCCACCCTGTGTTCAGTACACCTGGAAAGGAATAGAAAGAGACTGGGATCTCTTCCCAGTCTTGGGAAGTTCATAGGTGCAAGCAAGAACCGTAACCCAAATCAGGGACCCATTCTGTCCTGTGGCGGTTCCCTCCCTTCTGCTGTGCACGGCTCAATGGGAGCACAGCCTTGCTCCCCTTGACAGGTGTGTGTGAGGCTGTGGGGTTCAGGGTGAGGGGGTCTGTGTCATTTCCTAGGGCTTAGGGAGGGCACCACAAACGAATATCTCTTTCGTGGCCAGCCAGCTCTGCCATTTTTTCATTTCTTTACATTGCTGCTCCTCAGAGAAATGAATTCTCTTGTGGCTTTGGGTTTTGAGGCCTGTCACATTTACAACTCCGAAGCATCTGTGTTCTGAGGGTAAATACCTCTGTCTCATATCTGTCTGTCTCTGCCCCTTTCTCGCCTGGGGCTTGGGTGTGATTGGCCTGTGCTGGCTACTCTTGGCTGGATGATAGTGACAGTCCTCCTTGGTGTCCCCCTCCTCCTGCCTTAGGGACAAAGTCCTTGCTTTTCCCTCCTCCCCGCAGTGGTCAGCTTCATCCCCCACACTCTTCTTGCCTCTCTAGTCTACCCCTTTCTCCTCTCCTTTCACGGTACCCGCCATGGTGTCTCAATTCCTGGACGCTCCCTCCTCACCCACGAGGCTCTCCCCGGCTCGCTCCTTGCGTCCTGGCATCCAGCAGTGTCCAGCTGCCCCTTTCTCATTGCTTCTCACCGTTGACAACAGCAGCTGTCTGTCCATCCTGCACACCGAGCAGAACGTCAGGCGCCTTCCAGGGAACCTCAGCACACAGCTGATCAGGCAGCCAGCCAGCTGTTTAAGTAAAGGACGATCTGATGGTAACGCCTCCAGTTTTACTTAGAACATAGGCTGGGGCATAGAATGACTTTGTAGATAGCAGGAGTAGCAATAGTAGCAATAGCAGTAGTAGTAGTAGCAAGATGATTATTTAGTAATGTGGACTGGCTTACATAGACAGTTGAGGTAAAAAAAAAATTAAAAATTATTTATTTCATGAAAGAAATGGAGATCCACGGCCACCACCAGTCACCCCTCTCAGCTGGCCTGGATCACAGGCACACGTGCATATGTCTAGTTCCAGGACACAAACCCAGGACCTTTCTGTGGTTCCAGTTGCTTTATCACTGTGCTGGTCCCAAATTTGTTTTTGTTTTTTGTGTGTGTTTTTTTCTTTTTTTAGAGAGGTTTTTGCTATAGGGTACGTGCACTCACCAGAAAGACAGAGACAGACAGAAAGTGAGAAATCACCTCACAAGGGGGATGGCCACACCGCAATCCCTTCTCCTCCATTCTCTCCTCAGGATATTGAGCACACACCCACACGCGCCTGGCATGAGTTTAAGCCACCAGATCTGGGACTCGAACCACGGTCGACTACATGGGAGTCCAGTGACAAAGCCATTATGCCAAGTGCTGGTCCCTGGTCCCAAGTTTTATATTGAAAAAGAAAAATATTGGACTGGCAGTGGCATTGTGATTAAGGTGCCAGACTCCCACATGGCTAACCATGGTGGCTTGTTGTCTCACTTTCCCTTTCTCGCTCTGTCTCTCTGATCAAATTAAAAGTAATAGTAATAATAACAAAATAAATAAATCTTTAAAAAAAAAAGAAAGAAAAATACTTGAAATTTTCATATGGGTGCCAGGAAGTGGCATAGTGGTTAAGACGCTGGACATCTTCAACCGCAGTTTGAGTCCTAGACCTGGCAGCTCGAAACTCACACTGAGCATGTGTGTGCACATGCGTGTCCAAGATCCTAAGAGGAGAATGGAGGAGAAGGAATTATGGCATGGCCATCCCCCAGGGGTGATTTCTCACTTTCTGTCTCTCTATCTCTCCAGGTGAACACACGTGCCCTATAGCAAAAATCTCTCAAAAACAAAACAAAAAAACTTCATCTGATGAAATCCATGGGTTCAAATTTGAAACGTTAAATAAACATAATGAACATAACGTATTAAATGTTACTGAGATTAGTCTGTTCTATTCTGTGATGTTACCATACTTTTCTGTTTTTTGTTTACATGCCAGTTTTCCTTTTGTGTTGCTGCCCCCCGTCTTCCAGACCCTTCCACACATTTGCAGTGTGTGAATCCTAAAGCTCCTGCCTATAAAAAGGGTCAAATCCATCCCTAGAACTGGAAACAGCCAATTCCTAAACCTTTCATCTTTAGCTTGTTGGCAACTACCGAGCAGATGCCCTTTCTGCCAGTAGGTGGTGCTCTTGTAAACAGGAAAACAGCAAAGTTGCCCTTCTTAGGGTAGGCATGAGAGGGTGGTTAGCTGTCTTTCAAAGTTTAAAGTCTTACCATTTACTTTTCTCTTTATTTTTCCCCCCTTTTTTGGAGAGGTTTTTGCTATAGCGCATGTACGCTCACCAGAAAAACAGAGAGAGACGAAGAGACAGAAAGCAAGAAATCACCCCCCTGGGGGATGCCCATGCTGTAATCCCTTCTCCTCCATTTTCCTCCTGGGATCTTGGGCACACACTCACATGTGCTCAGCGTGAGTCTAAGCCACTGAGTCCAGGACTTGAACTGCGGTTGGCTACATGGGAGTCCAGCAACATAGCCATTAGGCCAACTGCTGGTCCCAAAGTCTTAACATTTTCAGTCTGAAAATTTACCACTAGTATACTACTTCAACTCCAAAATACCCTCGCTCTGAAATGCCTTCTCATCCATACCACCCTTCCCGCAACCAGCAGCTTAAAATTCATATTGTCTTTGCATTGGTCTGTCACTGAATATTTTGTTAGTATGATACAGATTTATTTTTTCTATATATTTAAGAGAGGGTTTTTTTGCTGTAGTGTGCATGTGCTCTCCAGAAACACAGAGAGAGACAGAAAGTGAGAAACATTTCCCAGGGGGATGGCCACACCACAATCCCTTCTTCATTCTCTTCTTGGGATTTTGGGCAACCATACACATGAACCCAGCATGAGTTTTAAGCCACCAGGTCTGGGACTTGAACTTCTGTTGACTATGTGGGAGTTGACATAGCCATTATGCCATCTGCTGGTCCCCAGATTTTATATTTAAAATAAGCTAATTTCAACTTGTAAGGAAGCAGAAAAGCATCATTTTAATGAAAGCTCCATGGATAAGGCTTGAAATAAAGGCTCAGGAAGAGGCAGTGATACTGTTTTTTGTCTGTTCCATTGAGTGTCTTTATGTACTCACTTCTCCCCTCTCTGTACCTTGTATGCGGTCCGAATGGAGGCGAACCCCCTTTACCTAGGCTTTTTAAGTGTCTGTGCTAGGCCCAGGGCCCTGGAAGGGAGCTAGTCTGGGTGAAGCAGAGATGTTGAATGTGGCTTACAATATCAGCTGAGGGGTTAATCCCTGTGGCCCTGCGAGGTTAGTAAAGGGGGTCTTTGGAGCAGACTTAGCAGGACTAGCAGTACTTGGGACTTATTTCCCTTTGACTTTTGTCCACTTAGTGACAAAAGGTCCCCCGGGCCAGTTACTTAGCCTATCTCAACCTCATTTCTTCTTCTGGGCAACAGGAGTTAAAGCAGATGACCACAGGGGTCCGTTCAGTTCTAATTGCCCCTAATTCTGTACGACAGCCTCACCTGACAGAATATCCTATGTTGATAGAAGTGTCCTCTTAGTGCCTTGTCTACAGGGGCCACTGACCCACATGTAGCTGTTGAGCATTTTGAGATGTGGCTACTACCACAGAGGAACTGACATTCTCATCTGAAGTTATTTAAATTCTGGAGCCATATCTAACTGGTGACCACCACATGACACAGTACAGCTCTGAGATACTGAAGGGCCTATTTAGATAGAGAAAAATAAGCCTGCGATCTCAGCGTGGTCAGTCAGAGGCTGTCACAGGCCAGTAGTGCAGAAGAAGATAAATTATCCAGAGTAAGGAACTGTCGTCCCATTTCCTCTGGATAGCCAAGAGTCCTGTAGCTCAGAGCTATTGGCAGGAATGAGACAGAGGCAGAAATCTCTCATACGAGTCAGGGACATGGGCATCTCAGTAAGCTTGCCTGGCAGAGTTGGTTCCATAGTTAAACCATCGAAGTAGCTGGGCATATTTCCCATACCCTTCCACAGCAGCTGGGAGGAACGTCGAGTTCTCAGCACCTCTGGGACCCACCCTGCCTCCTGTCCCTTTTCTGCATAACCAGATGTGATGAGACAGGCCAGATGAGGGCAAGAGGAGCCAGTGGACTCTGGGTGGGCCAGAGGCCAGTGGTTGACCTTTGCAGCTCTTCTGTGGGGTGCCGGGATTGTGACTGCCCTGCAAGCCCAGCCCCGCACAGTCAGTAATGTTTGCTCATAAAGAATCAATCCAGTTATTAAAACATCTCCTCCTTCCCCACGATGAAGGAGTTTATCCGAGAACAATCCAGCTCAAAGCTGCCTGACCCAGAAGTCATCCAGTTCTGTGTCTCCATCTTCAAATGCTCCAGGCTCCTGCTCCCCAGATGGCGTTGATCAGCAGTTCTTAGAGGACTACCACAGGGTGACCAAAGGGGGCTCCACCGAGGACGCCAGCCAGTACTACTGTGACAAGGTGAGGGGCTCCCTGAGCCCTGTCGGCACCTCAGTAGTATGACCTAGAGGAAAGTAATGGAAATGACCACTTTCAAATGTTTTCCAGAATGAGAATGGTGACAGCTACTTAGTCTTGATCCGTATCACGCCTGATGAAGATGGAAAATTTGGATTTAATCTTAAGGTATGTTGTATGTATCTTTAAGGACTCTTTTTTTTTTTTTTTGGAGAGGTTTTTCCGCTAGAGGGCGCGTGCACTCGCCAGACAGGCAGAGAGAGACATAGAGACAGAAAGCGAGAAATCACCCCCCAGGGGGGATGGTAATGCCACAATCCCTTCTCCTCCATTCTCCTCTCGGGATCTTGGGCACGCACGCACATGCACCCGGTGTGAGTTTTAAGCCACCGTGTCCGGGCCGCGAACCGTGGTTGACTACTTGGGAGTCCAGCGACATAGCCATTACGCTAACTGCTGGTTCCCTTTTTTTTTTTTTTTTTTAAATTGTCAGAGAGTGTGTGCACAAGCCAGAGATAGAGAAAGGGAGAAAGCATCCCCCCGGAGGGCATGGTAATATTGCAATCCTTGTTTCTTTATTTCTCCATCCTGCTAGAATTTAGGGCATGTGCACATGCTTGTCCATGTGCATTCTCACATGTGCACTCACACACTCACTCACACACATACACACACCTGTCCTGTGTTGCAAACTGCCAAGCTGAGACCATGGTTGACCGAGTGGGATCTGGCTGACCACTAGGCTATAGGGTTGGCCCTATAAGGAAATAGTATGCTGTGAAGCAATCTTTAGCTGAATTTTTTTTAAATAATTATTTTATTTAACTTTACTTATTTGTTTACTTTTTTAAAAAATTTGACCAGAGAGGGACAGCGCGAGAGAGAGACAGAAAGAGAGAAAGCAAGTTGCCAGGTCCGAGACTCAAACTGCAGTTCGCCATGTGAGAGTCCGGCACCCTTAACCACTACACCACCTGCCTAGATGAATTTTTAATATCCAGTAGAAGTATGCTGTGTATCTAAACTACATAAGAAAATTAGGCTTAGCCCTCAGACTTGGGAGATTTTCCATAATTTTTAAAAAGATTTATTTAATTTGATTTATTATTTTAAAATTTGCTCTAGAGCACACGTGCTCTCCAGAGAGAGAGAGAGAGAAAGCTGCCAGGTCCAGGACTTCCTAACCACAGTCAGCCATGCAGGAGGTCAGCACACAACCACCAGGCCACCTACTGGCCCCATTATTTTTAAGTTTATTTACTTTATTCTTCAAAGTGCATGCATGATATCTAGCGGGAAGCACCCCCAACAGAGTTGTCACATTGCAGTCCCCTTTCCCTGACCCTACAGTCATCATCATTGGCACATGTCCAAGTGCCCAGTGTGTTTTCAAGCCAACCTGGAGGTCCAAACCCACAGTAGGTCACACGGCTCCCAGCACTGTAGTTCAGTTTGCTACTGACTGCGCCATGAAGCTGGGCCAGAATTGGGACTTTTAACTGGCTGTAGCACTTGCTTCATACCGAATGCCTGCTCTGTGCCTGGCATTTGCTGTATACTAGATTTATATCACCTTATTGAGTTCTTATAAGAAGCAGTGAGGTCAATGTTTTTAGACCCATTCGAGAGATGAATACTTAGAGAGGTGAGGACATACAGGGGACAAGCAGAAACCACCCCCTGAAGAGGGCTTATTACGAGAACACCATAGCATTGCTAAAGTCAGTAAGAGAAGATAGCTGTCCAAGTTGTAGGGCCACCACCATCCTGGGCACCTCTGGGCAGGGACAGGCCAGACTGCGGCTGTTTTTGTAAGCAGTTGGATTGGAATAGCCACACCTATTGATGTTGATGGCTGCTTTGGCACTAGAGTGGCAGAGGTGAGATTTGCAACAGGTCCCTCTTCCCCACCAAGCCTAAGATTCGTACTCTCTGGCCCTTTCCAGGAACGTGTTACCAACCCCTGCTCTAGAGCACAGTGCGGGTGGGTGATCCTTGCTGCCCACCCCTCGCTAACACTCCTCTCCTGTAGCCTGGAGGCTCTGCCCCGCAGGAACCTGCTCTCACAGGGCAGGAGCACTCAGTGCCTGTGGCCTTCTCTGAGGCCTTGCTCGCCTCCCGGAAGATGCCCTTTCCCAGCAGAGATGTGCTTTGGGGTCCTTCTGGGGGTGTCTGCATTTTTTTAAGGCATTTACCCTCCTCCAGGTGCATTTTCAATTTGTGGAATACGGAGATGATGCAGGGAGGCTTTCGAACAGAGGTGCCGTTAGCTCATTGGATCTGGAGGGGTCAGGAGTGTTTCCTAATCTGAAAGAGGAGCCAGACCCCTGGGAGTCACACAAGCTGAAGAGAACCTCCCCTGGGCCAGAAGACTCCCATTTATGTCTTTGTTGCTATCAGTGTCTCAAGTTGTGTTTTGTTTTGTTTTACTTTAAAATATTTACAGGGAGGAGTCGATCAAAAGATGCCTCTTGTGGTATCGAGGATAAACCCAGAGTCACCTGTAAGTAAAATGCTCTGCATTATTTCTCCTGTTTGTTTTCCTCTCAATCGTGACAGGTTTCTGTTTCTGCGTACTGTTTTTCTTCTTTTCTTTTCTCCTTTTTTTTCTTCTTCTTGCAAGCAGTTTGAGAGCAGTAAATACACATACTGGGTCGTTGGAAAAGTTATGACCCATTTTTGCATAGAAAAAAACATAGAAAAATACATCATGACTTTTCTGATGACCCAATAGGTGGAAAGAAAGAATGGAGTCCGTGTTTCTAGAACTCGTTTCTCCGTGCGATTCTCAAAGCCACAGCATCAGTATCTCCCGGGACCTCATTACAGATGCAGAATCCCCGGCCCCAGCCCAAGGCTTCCAAATCAGAATCTGCGATTTTTTTTTTTTTTTTTTTAAATTTGCTATAGGGTGTGTGCAATTGCTGAGAGAGAGAAAGTGAGAGAGAAAAAGCACCTCCCGGGGGCGATGGCCACACCACGGTCCCATCTCCTCCATTCTGCTGTCAGGATTTGGGGCACTCACGCACACATGCCAAGTATGTTTCTCAAGCTACCAGATCCGGGACTTAAACCTCTCAGTAGGCCATGTAGGCCATGTGGGATCCAGCTGACATCATCACCATGCTTCCATTAGCCCAAGTCTGCATTTTTTTAGGGTTGTTTATTTTTGTGAGCATAGAGGAGGTGAGGAGCACCCTAAGCCCTGGCCAGCCCTGGGTCCTGTATGCACGTGTGCACCTATCCATACAGGGAGGCCCCCTAAAGGCTGCAGGCGTGAATCTTTCCACGGGGTTCAGCCTCACGGAGCAGTGCACTGCTCCTGTGCCCTTGAATCTAAGTTTCTAGCAAGACCCCCAGGCACTGAATTTTGAAAACTACTGCACAAGAGAAGGAAGCGGAATGGAGGCTGTGTGTGGGGCTGCTTGCTTTGAACAGGAACGTGGACCCTGTCTCTTCCCCGTCATCTCCCCACCACCACCATCCCCAAGCCCTCTGCATGGACCTATGGAAAAAAGTTTCTTTTTCTTTTTTCTCTTCTTTTTTTTTCATTATATGTATTTAAGGTGTCCAACAGGATCCTTCAATATGCATATACTTACTGAAATGATTCCTGAAGTCCTGTTTATGTTCCCGCCACCTTGCCTACTTACCTTTTGATCATTTGTTTTTCTAAAGCGGTAGAGCATCAGAGCCTCACTGAGCCGGCTAAGAGGGAAGCCGTGTGGGGTGTTTACCCTTAAGTAGTCCTTAAGCTTGTAGTTTGCCTTTTGTCACTGTTTTTGGTTTCTGGAATAAGGAGGCTTTCACTCCTGTACTACGCAGTTCATCGCTTCGCTCTCTGAGGCTATCTGGTAGTGTTTATAAAAGCTCTCTCCATCTCAAGACAGATAAATACCCACTTCTAGCCTGCAATTTTTTTTTTTTTTTGAGAGGTTTTTTTGCTATAGGGCGCGTGCGCTCGCCAGACAGACAGAGAGAGACAGAGACACAGAAAGTGAGAAATCACCCCCCAGGGAGGATGGCCACGCCGCAATCCCTGCTCCTCCATTCTCCTCTCAGGATCCTGGGCATGCATGCACACGCGCCCCGCGTGAGTTTTAAGCCACCAGGTTCAGGACGCGAACTGCGGTCGACTACATGGGAGTCCAGCGACATAGCCATTAGGCTAACTGCTGGTCCTTTTTTTTAAATTGCCAGAGGGTAACGTGCTTGCCAGAGAAAGAAAGCCCTCCCCACCGCTGCCCACCGTGGGGCGTGGTCGTGCTGCAGCCCTTTTTCCTCCAACTCTACTCTTTCAGGATTTGGCGGACACATGTAAACAGGCCCAGCGTGGTTCATTTTGTTTTGTTTTGTTTTGTTTTAGGTTTTTGCCATGTAGTGTGTGCACTCACCAGAGACGGACATAAAGAGAGAAATGGGGAAAGTGGGAAAGTGAGAAATCACCCCCCCCCAGGGTGAATGGCCATGCCTCAACCCGCTCTTCTCTACTCTCTTCCTGGGACCTTTGGGCACACACGCATCTGCGCCCAGGGTGTTTCTCATGTCCCCGGGTCCTGGGAGTCCAGTGCCCCAGCCACATCACACCACCTGCTGGCCCCATGCTTGATAAGTTTTTCAAGGGCCCTGATTCCAACTGTGTTTGGACATGTGGGACCCAGTTCCCTACAAACAGTACTTACTGCTGGTACACACAGTGCTTACTGCTGTGCCGTGGAGCCAGCCCCCAGGCAAATCATTTTCTAGAAGTCCATCCATAAAACAAGTGACTAAAAAGGCAGTCATTGTCATACTAAGTGAGGGTTGACAACAATAGAGACATTACCTCGGTCATTTTCTTAGCCTTTTTCTGAAATGTTTTATAACTTACATCCTGAGCAGCACTTTTTAAAACCCCACAGCTAGTTACCAAGTCCTCCTAGCAATGGATGTAAAAATAATGACAATTATACCTGGGGGAGAAGATGCACACTGATCATAGTCTCAAGCGTTGGATCAGGAGCTTCGGTTCTTCCCCTGGAGGATTGTATCCTGGTAACAGAAGAAACGCTCTCTCCCTCCCCCCAGGCGGACACCTGCATTCCTAAGCTGAATGAAGGGGATCAAATCGTGTTAATCAATGGCCGGGACATCTCAGAACACACCCATGACCAAGTGGTGATGTTCATCAAGGCCAGTCGGGAGTCCCACTCGAGGGAGCTGGCCCTGGTGATCAGGAGGAAAGGTAACACCACCTGTCGGGGAGGAGCCACAGGGACGCACCTTGCCAAGCAGGGCCCCTTCCAGCCTATTTCATGTTTAGAAAATATTGGGTTGGTAGCCAGCATTGGAAAATCAAGAATTTTCTTTTTTTCTTTTTCTTGTTTTTTAAGGAATTATTTTTTATTCAACTTTTATTTATTTTAATTCGCCTCAGGGGCGGGGGAGAGAAAACTGCCAGGTCTGGACTCGAACCACAGTTAACCATGTGGGAGTCCATCGCCCTTAACCACCATGCCACCTGCCAGCTCCAGAAAATCAAGAATTTTCACACAGCAACCTGGACATCGGGCTTCTCACTAGAAAAATGCGCAGGTCTGCCACACGGGCCTGGCTCCCTACGGCCAGTGTCCTGGAGGGAGGCAGCACCTCCCTACCCCGTTTCTCTGGGAATGCGCCCCCAATCCCTTCAGGCCCAGTGCAGCCCACATCATGCGCTGTCTTAGCTGCTGGATATCGTGGATGCGCATGCGCAGCCCCTTCTCAAGATCAAGTTGTATCTTAGTGTGCATTTGACTTTGTTGGGTGGGCAGTGAGGAGGCAAATGGGATAGGAGCCTGATGCTCTGGTGTTTCCTAACTCTACCTTCTGTGGGCTAAGGGACCTGGGCCTTGGGCAAGGTACACACCCAGTCCATTTCAGTTGTCTTAAGTGTGAAATGATGATAACGTTTGTCCCTATCTCGTGGGATTGCGTTAAGGTTGCATGATACTTGAGCTGGAAATTACCCTGGTCTGCCTGAGATGGGGTAGGGGTTTGAAGGATGAATTCTATTGAGTGCCATTAATATTGCTGTTGCTATAACAAGCCTAGTCCCTTAAATCCTTCTGCACAGCTTAAAAATGCTGAAGGTGGGGACCAGCAGTTGGCGTAATAGCTGTGTCGCTGGACTCCCATGTAGTCAACTGTGGTTCGAGTCCTGGACCCAGTGGTTTAAATTCACTCCAGGCACGTGTGTGCGTGCCCAAGATCCCGAGAGAGAATGGAGGAGAAGGGATTGTGGCGTGGCCATACCCCCCAGGGGGTGATTCTCACTTTCTGTCTCTCTGTCTTTCTGGCAAGTGCACTTGTCCTATAGCAAAAAGCTCCCCCCCAAAAAATAAAAATGCTGAAGGGCAAGTGAAGGATGTGACAGCCAAGCCTGGGCATGATTGCTACCCTGGCCACACATGTACCCAGCCCCGGCCCACACCCCTGCTTTACTGCCCTCTGCTCCCTCCAGAACTCAGCCCAGAGCCCGCTCTGATCTCAACTCTTTGGTGAGGCCTGACCAGATTACTCCAGCTCCCTCCCTGTGTCCCTCACACCTCCCATCCCCAGCAACCCCCAGCTCGCACACAGTGGGTCTTCAGCAGTGACAGCAGGCGCCTGCGCCATGCCAGTGACATGCCTCCTGCTGTGCTGAGTGTTCCACATTGTGATCCTCTTCAACTCACGTGACCACAGAAAGGTCCGAGTTGCCACCCCCTAGGGAAGAAATGGGGAGAGCTGATTTACTTTGCCCTGCTGCCATGTGACTAAGAAAGTCACGGCGTCGGGCATGGAGAACAGGCCTCCTCATGCCAGAGGGCATGCTGGGTGTTCCCGGGCCAGCCCTCCTCACTGGCCCATGGAGAAGGCGGGTGCCTGGTTGAGTGAGGAAAGCGGCACTGCATAGACCATGGGGACCAAAAGGGAAGGAGTGCCACTGGTTTCGTAGTGACTCCATTTTAAACAAACACGTGAGGAGAACGTGAGCCAGTCTGAAGAGCATGAGTCAGCAGTAGCTCGGGGAGTAGCAGGTCTGACAGTCACTTAGGTAGCACAAGAAGAGCCAGGCTTCTGTGGACAGTGACTAGAATGTGGCCCTTAGGGCCAGGCAGGTGTGGGCTGAAGTCCTACATCCTGACCTGAGGAATGACTCACCCTGAGAGTCCATTTCTTTGTCTGAGAAACGGCTTTAATGTCAGAATTGCAAGGATTCAGTTCAAAGGTGCATGATATCCAGACATGTCTTTGTTTCCTTCACCTTTCCTATCATTTTAAAGGCATTAGGGAGCTATTGAAGGCTCTTGAGTAAGGGAATGACTTTTTTTTGGAGTAGAAAGGGAAAATTGCAAAATAATCACAAAGTTTCCAATTGGGGAGATTGGAGTAGAAGGAGACAGAAGGCAGGCGAGTGAGGCGGAAGTGTCGTGCAAGGTGAGAAAGAGGATGAATCCTTGGGTTGCTTGTACCCATGTTGAGTTTGACACGAGGGAGGATTTGTACTGAAGAAGTAGGTCTGAAGCACCAAGGAGCTGGGAAGGCCACAGAGATTTGCCAGGGCGCCTCCTGCACACAATGGCCTCACGGCAAAGCTCTTAGGAACCACACTGTCGGGACTCGCCCCAGTGCGGGGACAAAAGCCCATTTAATAAACAAAAAGGACCCAGGAAAGAAGAGGAAAAGGGGCAGGCAAGGGAAAACCCAGGTCAGAGAGCAAATGGAGAAAGTATGTTTTCTTTTCAAATATCCTTTCTCTTTCCCCTACCTTTGGCAAAAGCCTCCGAGTACTAAACACCATCATTTAAAGCTAACCAGAAGGATTAGTGTGTCATTTTGTATAATTAGTACCTATTGAATCACTCGCCCAGAAGTAGTATCTTTGGTGAAAATGATTACTATGTGCTTAATCATTTAATAAGGTGTTTTAAAGCATCTGCATTCGGGTGTCATAAGTGTAATTTTTTTGAAGGAAACTGATAAACCCGAGCATTGCTCCATGAGCCAGACGCACTCCTTCCTCATGTTACAGCTGTCCACGTGTGTGCCGACACCAGATCTGAAGATGAACTGAACCAGCTCTTCCCAGAGGCCATGTTCCCCATATGTCCGGAGGGTGGGGACACGCTGGAGGGGTCCATGGAGCAACTAAAGAAGGGCCTCGAAAGCGGGACATTGCTCATCCAGTTCGAGGTAAGAAGATCTCGGGGCCTGGGCCCTTTCACATACCTGCCAAGCTGCACGGCCACTGCTGAGAGGCCGAGTAGCAAAGCAGAGATCCACGCCTACGTCTCCTCCATTGAGGTGAGTGTGTGTTTCACAAACCGCAGCCCATCAGCTGAGTTGCTGTGAGGACCATGAGCAAGGCCCATGCTCATCGTGGGGTAGCCGGAGGCCCCACAGGCAACCAGCATCAGAGAGCGGGGGCTTGGGACCACCTCCCATCACTGAACTCCATCTCACCCTCTTCTCTAGTAAGCTTTGGTAGTCATGGAGAAGAAGCATGTCAGAAACTTGAGGAGGAGGGACTCTGAGCATATTTAGCTGCCAACACAAAAGCTCAAAACTCTCAGCAGTAGAAGAGAGTAGAAAAGCCACGTGGGTGGGAAAAGGCAGCCTAAGGTGGGAAGGGAACAGCACTCTGACCCCACAACTGCCCTGGGTTATCTGGAGCAGTTGACGTCATGAAGGCACTCCACCTTGCTCTCCCCAGAAGTACAGAAACAAGGAGCAGAAACTAAAGTCAGACCCTGCCTTCCCCAGGAGGGACCAGTAACCCATGGGACAGAGACTTTATACAAAACAAGGACGAGAGGAGACCCAGTCTGTGAGTTTTACTGACCACTGACAATTACAATAGTTCATACAGTGAAAGATAGAAGAGAAAGCATCTACGTAGGCCAGTCAAAGAAAAGAGATCAGGCTGGCCCCATAGCACAGGGCTTAAGGGAGCTGGATCCTACATGGTTGACCGCAGTTCAAATCCCAACCCTGGCACCCTCAAGGACACACCAGGGGGACCAGTAGATAGCATAATGGCTATGTTGCTGGACTCCCATGTAGTTGACTGCGGTTTAAGTCCTGGACCCAGTGGCTTAAACTCTCGTGTGCGTGCGTGCCCAAGATCCCAAGAGGAGAATGGAGAAGGGATTGCAATGTGGCCATTCCCCCTGGTGGGGGTGATTTCTTGCTTTCTGTCTTTCTGCCTCTCTCTGTCTTTCCAGGAAGCACACATACCCTACAGCAAAAACCTCTCAAAAAAAAAAAAAAAAAAAAAAAGAGCACACCAAGCAATGTGCATGTATACCCAAAATCCTGATGGGAAGGACAAAAGGATTGTATCATGACCCTGACCTATTGGGGGCTTCTCTCTCTCTCTCCCCTTCACACTCTTTCTGACAAGCGCATGAACCCTCTGACAATGACAGAAGATCAGGATTAAGAGACAGAATTAATAGCCTTACTTCATGAATTAAGAAGAGAGTCTCAAATGGGAATCAGAAATCAGTAATACATAGTTAATTAGAAAAGCGTATAAAGGAAAAAGACACAAAGCAAAATTAAGACATTTGTCAAAAATATGCAACTGCAAGTGATTCAGTAAAGCATGAGTAATATGAATAGGAACAGAAAGGAATGCAGAGCAAAAAACTTAGAGTGAGACAAAGGTTTATTTTACAATGGGGTAAGGAGTAGAATGGAAACATCGTAGAGCCATGTGTATGGAACAGAAGTAGAAAGCAAAAACCTGCGAGCGAGAAAGCAAGGGTAATTAACTCCCCCCAAAATCAATAGTGAATTTTAAACTTTCTAAAAGGATTATTTAGTTTCAATATTATGTTGTCTTTCAATTTGCTACAGAGTACATGCACTCGCTAGAGAGAGACAGAGACACACAGAGAGAGAGAGAAAGCAAGCTACCAGGTCCAGGACTCGAACCATAGTTAGCCTTGTGGGAGTCCAGCACCTCAACCACCACACCACCTCCTGGCCCAAAATTTTAAACTTCTAATTAAACATCTTGACAGATAATATAAAAAAATAAGTTTGTGTCTTATGGAAATGAAACCTGGATTAGAAGGTGTAGTGGCAATATAATCCCTTGGGTAGAATTGATAGATATATACTGAGTATTATATTCTACAAAAAGAAGCAACCCTCTTTTTTGAAGTTTACTTATTTCTTCCATGAGAGAAGGAATGGGGCTCCCCGACAGGGTCTTTGCACTGCAATCCCACCTCCAGCCTCCATCAGCCAGGATCACAGTGTGTGCACATCCTGGGATGTGAACCCAGGATCTTCCCGTGTGGTCTCAGCACCAGGGAGCATTGTGTAACCACAGCACCTCTGCAGCTGGCCTAGAAATAGCCCTTTTATTCAGGGCCCCACAGGAGGCCATGCAGGCTTAATTTTTTTTTTGGGGGGGGGGGGGAGATTTTCACTATAGGGCGCGTGCGCTCGCCAGACAGACAGAGACATTAGAGACATAAAGGGAGAAACCCCCCCCCAGGGGGGATGGTCACGCCGCAATCCATTCTCCTCTCGGGATCTTGGGCACGCACGCACACGCGCCCGGCGTGAGTTTTAAGCCACCGGGACCCGAACCGCGGTCGACTACGTGGGAGCCCAGCGACATAGCTGTTACGCTAACTGCTGGTTCCCAGGCTTAATATTTTAAAAGAAGAAAATGTAGAGGTTATGTTCTCTGGCCTTGAATTCTAGAAAGGTCATAATTGAACTTTAAAAAATTTTTTAGAAATATTTATTGACTTTTATTTATTATTTTTTAATCTGACCAGAGAGAGACACAGAGGGAAAGTAAGAAGGCTTGCTGCCAAGTCCTGTGCATGAACTGTGGTCTGCCGTGTGGTAATCCAGAGCCTCAACCACCACACCACCTACTGGCGCCATAATTGAACTTTTTTTTTTTAGAAAGATTTTTGCTATAGGGTGCATGCGTTTGCCAGAGAGACAGAGGGACAGAAAGCGAAAAATCACTCCCCCCCGGGGGGATGACCACACTACAATCCCTTCTCCATTCTCTTCTCAGGATTTTGGGCATGCACGCACATGTGTCCAGTATGAGTTTTAAGCCACTGGGTCCAGGACTCAAACCATAGTTGACTACATGGGAGTCCAGCAACGTAACCATTATGCCGTTTTATGATTCTTAATTTTTTTTATTTATTTTATACATTTAATCACTATACATTGCTTAGCTTGTGAGTTGAATTTATCCAACATGAATGTACTTCATACCTGTCCAGTAGAGGATATAAAACACATTATCATCAACAGATAATCCATTTCCGTGTCCCACAAATGTCTTGCCTCTGTACTTTCCTCCTTACATAATTGAACTTTATAAATGCTAGAACTCATTAATATTTTTAAACTCTCTCCAAACTTACTGGGACCAGGAAGAACTTAGCATGGTGGTCACAGACTCTCTCAGTTGTACTCCTTTTTTGGTGTCAGAGGGAACGTGAAAGGGGAAAAGCACTGTGGAGTCGTTCATGTACTCATTTATTTGTCTAGCGAGTGTGTCTTAGATGTTTACCACATAGCAAACACTGGAGCAGAAATTTGATGAGAAGGGGCCAGCAGATGGTGTGGTGGTTGAGGTGCTGGACTCCCACATGGCCAACTGCAGTTTGAGTCCCAGAACTGGTGGCTTGCTTTCTGACTTTCCTTCTCTCTCTGTCTCTCTCTAGTCAAATTAAATAATTATATAGTAATAGATAGAATAAAAATAATTATTTTTAAAATAAAAAGAAGAAATAAATAAAAAATAAAATGAGATTATAGGTGCTTACCGTCTAACTTCGATGTACTAGGAGGATGTATCATGAGTCTCTCAAACAACTGAAGGCCAAGACAGGTAAGATTTTATTATCCTGAACTCTGAGGCAAGGTGCAGGATTAAAAGATGGATGGGATTAAGTGTGGAGGGGAAGGTATTCCAGGAAGGTCACAGATGAATGCAGAAGAAGCTCATAAGATGTCAGGTACTGGGGACCAGTGGGTGGCATGGTGGTTGGGGCACTGGACATTCCCACATGACCAACCACAGTTCAAGTCCTGGACCTGGTGGCTTGCTTTCTCTCTCTCTCTCTCTCTCTCTCTCTCTCTCTCTCTCTGTTTCTCTTTCTGATCAAATTAAATTACTGAATAAATAAAATTAAATAAATAATAATTTGTTAAAATTATTTCATTTTATTTATTCATTCATTTATTTATTTCAATTTGATCAGAGAGGGATAGAAAGAGAGAGAAAACAAGCCGCCAGGTCCAGGACTCGAACTACAGTCGGCCATGTGGGAGTCCAGCACCTTTAACCACCCCCAAGTCACTTGCCGGCCCCTAAATAATTACTTTTTAAAATGTCAGGTAGCATAGGGAAATAGGCCTACCTGGTGTGGGCAGCACAACAAGGAATCCTGGGAAATATCCCAGGTGACGGAAGGCCTCCATCCCAGCCACAGCTGTTTCCACAAGGAGGAGCTGTGGGTGCTCACTGGGGAAAACCTCAAAGTCTGGTCTTCAGTGATGTTCCCTTGAGCCTTGTCCACTCAGGAGCTCAGGTTGGTCATGTTCCTTACGTTTGGGAATCCCTTGTGAGATTTGTCTTGAGAAGTGTTCATCAACCTCTTCAATGAGTTTAACAGCTTTAACAAGAGGTAGGCACCCTCTCCCCTGCCTAGGGTTTCCAGTAGATTTTCTCAAAGGGTGATGCTCTGACTGCTTGTTTGGAAATCACCTAGGGAGCTTGTTACACAGCTCTTAAATCAATCGGCTGGGATGGGACCCAGATACGGGTGCTTTCAGCAAGATCACCAGAGATTTTGATGTATAAGCAGATCCAGAGGAGGAGAGGGGCAGGTCACACCAGAACCATCGTCCCCCTGCAGCCCATCCCAGGTCTGTGTGTGGAAGGTGTCATCAGAGAACATATACATTTCCTTCAAGTCTTCACCTGTTCTAAAAACTAAGTAGGAACCCCCTCTCTTTAAATAACATCTTTTAGACCAGCTCTGTGGTGCATAGATTGTACCACCACTTGAGATGCTGGAGGGCACATGGGAGGCCCAGGTTCGGTTCCTGGTCCAATCTAAACACTCTAGACATGGTTGTGTGCACCTATAATCCTAGCTTATTGGAAGGTGGGGCAGGAGGATCGTAGCAATTTCCTG